TCTTGGGACGCCGTTTTAGACAAACTGAATTTTCTTAGGTTTATGGAACAAGCAATATCCCAGAGTGTGTCTTTATTCACATTTAAAACCATCAGAGATCTGTGTCCGGGCTCATGCATTAAGACCAGGACTGAACCAGGACTGAACCAGGACTGAACCAGGACTAAACCAGATCTAAACTATGTTTAAACAAGGACTAAACTAGGTCTAAACCAGGACTGAACAAGGACTAAACTAGGTCTAAACCAGAACTAAACCAAGACTAAACCGGGACTAAACTAGGACTCAACCAGAACTAAACCAAGACTAAACCAGGACTAAACTAGGACTCAACCAGAACTAAACCAGGACTAAACCAGGTCTAAACCAGGACTAAACAAGGACTAATCCAGGACTAGATTAGTTTAAAACCAGAACTACTTCGGGACTAAACCAGGACTATTTTGCCATTGTGTATTTTTATCAGACACTGTAAAGTCTCTGGGTCTGAAGAAACAGACTCCAGTTCCCAGCATGCACCACTGCACACATGTTTTGAGATAATATATCAAATATTTTTGTAAAAATCTGTAGTTTTTAGATGGACCCACAGTATTTCACCGTTTAAAGCAGATCTGTATATTTAAAGAGAATTTTCTAATAGACTTTGATGTGTAGAGAACTGAGCCTGAGACTTTTATCTCTGTTTCACTTTTATAAAAATGCATCTGCCCGGACATGTCCTCACGCCGACTCCACAAACCACAACAGTCTGTCCGCCAAACCCGTGTAAATTTACCAAAACATCTCTGTCGGCCGTTTTTGGTGAGCGAAAATACAAACATCTGAACGTATTGTGCTTATTTCCACCAAAAATATGAAAAATATGATACCCGGTGTGTTTACGGACACTGGTTACCTTAGAAACGTAGATTTAGATTTAGATTTTTCACGGAATTTTACAGATTTTTTTCACACTCGCCCCTCACCTCGTCCACGGGCTTTGAAGGTCCCGTATCGCGCCGTTCTCCAATCTGTTCTGGTGTCGTTTCCTCGTCGCAAACAAACCCGGAGCTGTGTTTTGTTCTTCTCTCAAGCTGAAAAGACTCTCTTCCACCTTGTGATGTCATCATGTGGTCACACAGAAATAAAGAGCTCCAGCGTGTTTTTAAACTCCACACACCTTCACTAGAATCATTTGGATCTTTTTTTTTTTTTCAGCTTTTGGAATCGCCAAACTCCACTGAACTAAAGGTAAAAGGAGTAAGTTACAGGTTTTTATGATTCTCAGATTTAAACTTTATTTCCAAATCACAATCCACTTTATTTCTACATTTTACAAACAAATCTGTTTCCAAAGTGCGGCACAGAAATAAGAAAACGAAAACAACAAAACGTTAAATTGCTAAAATTTGGTCACACCGATGTAAAACAATAAAACCAGTCAAATCAGATAAAAGCAAAACCATAAAAAACATGAAATATCAGTAAATAAAAACGATAAAATCTTAATCTCAGGGGAATGTGCTCACGTTTTTAGGTTCCAGTTAAAAGTCGCGCAGCAGAAACGTTAACAATATTAAATCTAAAAAATATTTGATGAGATGAAATTTGTTGTAAATATGAATAATAATTTTACTCAAATTAAGAAGAAAAGTCAAAAACTTGTTGAAAATGAAACAGGAAGTAGTTCTGTTTTAGAGAGACACATCGGTCCAAACGTCTGACACGATTTACACAAAACAAACACATTTTTCTGACACTTTACACCTGATTTAAACCAAACAAAAGCGTTTTCTTAAGTTTGTATTTGTCATGTCAGAATCTCTGGGAAATGAGAGGAGTCTGGACCTCGTGGTTGCTATGGTAACTGTTATGGAAGGTCCCAGTGTGGTGTCATGAAGTGCAACCAGGAAGTCACGTTTGGAACCTTAAAAAAAAAAAAAAAAAAAAAAAGGCCAAACTGGGCGATTTTATGTCTTTTTTGTGTGAAATCTTAAATATAAAGATCTAATAACTGAGCTTTAGAGAAGCACAACTACACAACAAAACTACACAACAAAACTACATCAAAACTACACACCAAAACTACATCAAAACTACACCAAAACTACACCAAAACTACATCAAAACTACATCAAAACTACACCAAAACTACATCAAAACTACACACCAAAACTACATCAAAACTACACCAAAACTACATCAAAACTAAAACAAAACTACGCCACAACTATACCACAAAACTACACCAAAACTACATCAAAACTACAACAAAACTACATCAAAACTACAACAAAACTACGCCACAACTACACCAAAACTACACCACAAAACTACACCAAAACTACATCAAAACTACAACAAAACTACGCCACAACTACATAACAAAACCACAACTACACCACCAATCTACACCACAAAACTACACCAAAACTACACAACTACAGACTACATAAAAACTACACAAAAACAAACCCGACTTTACAGACTCAGGTCAAGAGAGACTTGTGTTGTGTTTAAGATGTGAAGTTTCTGATTGGACATCTACCACTTCATGACATCACAAGGTGGAACAGAGCGTAGACAGACTCAGAATAAAGAGTCACTCAAACAAAACACAACTCCAGCTCTGAGTGTGACCAGGACCATCAGAACATGAGGACCTGACTCGGAGGTCGGGGTCGGGTCGGAGTCGGCTCGGAGTCGGGTCGGGGTCGGAGTCGGGTCAGGGTCGGCTCGGAGTCGGGTCAGGGTCGGCTCGGAGTCGGGTCGGGGTCGGAGTCGGTTCGGAGTCGGCTCGGAGTCGGGTCGGCTCGGAGTCGGGTCGGCTCGGAGTCGGCTCGGAGTCGGGTCGGGGTCGGCTCGGAGTCGGCTCGGAGTCGGGTCGGAGTCGGCTCAGGGTCGGCTCGGAGTCGGCTCGGAGTCGGGTCGGCTCGGAGTCGGGTCGGGGTCGGCTCGGAGTCGGGTCGGGGTCGGCTCGGAGTACGGGCCCGGAGTTGGAGTCGTGTGGTGCGGGAGCTCTCAGGTCATTTCTTTCTCATTCCATTTCTGATACTGGTCGTAGAGACGTCTGGTGTTTCTGTTTTACTTCGTTGCTGTAATTTTGTGCTTTTAAAAATCATCTTAGAATTCTTAGGATAAAAAGGTGAGATATTTTGTGTCAGATGCCCTCCCTCCTCTTCTGAAGAACCCTCAGACGTGTTCGGAACCAAAAGTCACTGTAAGAATAAAGGTTCTATTGCACTACTGTTGTACGACCTGTTTATTTCACTTTTGTGTCATTTGTGTCAGTGGTTTTCCAGCCCGTACGAGGCTCCGCCCACTGGCCTACGTCCCCCATGCACGACACTTCTCCATAAATACACAAAAAGTCCTTATTTAGTCCTGGTTTAGACCTGGTTTAGTCCTGGTTTAGTCCTGGTTTAGACCTGGTTTAGTCCTGGTTTAGTCCTGGTTCAGACCTGGTTTAGACCTGGTTTAGTCCTGATTTAGTCCTGGTTTAGTTCTGGTTTAGTCCTGGTTTAGACCTGGTTTTAGTCCTGGTTTAGTCCTGGTTTAGTCCTGGTTTAGACCTGGTTTTAGTCCTGGTTTAGTCCTGGTTTAGACCTGGTTTAGTCCTGGTTTAGACCTGGTTTAGTCCTGGTTTAGACCTGGTTTAGATCTGGGGTTTTTTAATAGAGACATGTGGGACATTTCTTGTATCAAATTTGGACAAATCAGTGATTTTCGTGTAAATCTGCTGCGACAGGAGATACGGACTCGAAACTGGGATTGTCCCGGGGAAACAGGGACGACTGGACACTCTACCTCCACCAGAAAAGTTACACAGTGCAGCTTTAATAACCCATGGAAGTGCCTTTTTAACACTGAGCTGAGTGTCATTCCTGTTTACACCTCAGACGCAGAACTGCCTCAAACTGAACGAGAAGAAAGTGAAACTTCCTTCGACTTGTTGAACAGGAAACTGACAGAGTTCTAAGTGTTGACCAACAGCTCCACTTGCTGGACCATGGAGTCATTACGTTTATTCACCTTTCAAAAAGCACAATCCTTTTATTTAATTTACTGTTTTTCAGTGTTAAATTTGTTTTAAATTGTAAATACATTTTTAAATCAAATTCAGTTTTTATGAAATTTTGATATTGTTTTGTTATTTTTCTAATATTCCCACTAAATAATCTGTGCAACCGGTACATTCTGCAAAGACAAAGAGGAGCCAAGAAGAGTACTTTCACTGCAAAGGAATATTACTCAAGTACTACAAAGTAGTGCTCCAACAAGTTACTCAAGTATGAGAAAAAGTATTTTGGAACAGTACTACTACGATTACTACTACTAATACTACTAGTACTGCTATTACTACTACTACTATTACTAGTACTACTACTACTACTGCTACTACTACTACTACTACTACTACCATTACTACTATTACTACTACTGCTACTACTACTACTACTACTACTAACTACTGTTATTACTACTACTATAGCTACTTTTCCCTTTTAGTTCGGATGAGATTGGGCGACTCCACGACCGAAATGATCCATGCGAGTCTGGCGAAGGTGTGTGGAGTTTAAAAACATGGTGGAGCACTTCCTCTATCACCGCATGACGACATCACGAGGTGGAACGGAGTGTTTTCAGTCTGAGAGAAGAGCTCGTGATAAATGTGCAGGGTTTGTGTTAAACATGTGAATGAAACAAAAACAGGAAACTACATTAGGACGGAATAGAACATCATGTAAAAAAGGACATTTAAATTAAAAAATACAAATATTTTTAAGTAGTAGTAAAAGTATTTCTGAATATGTTTATATAAATAAAAAAATAATAATAAAAATAAATAAATTAATAATAATAATAATAATAATAAAGTACACATCAACTTTCCGGTTTAAGCTTCATGTAAATCACATTTGACCACGTGGCTCAAACACTTCATCCCATTGGCTGATCGTGTTCGAGCCCAGCCAATCAGCGCTGAGCTTTGTGACCCCCGTGGTTTAAAACCGGAAGAGACGGCTCCGGCTGCGTTTGAATGAGAAACACGCGAGACACGAACTTCGGAGGAGAAAATGGAGCCTGTGCGACTCCCCGCAGATCCGACTCCGCAGCCGCCTTCTCCGGGTTCGGTGAGTGTTTTTGAGACAGAACTCGCAGAGGGAGCTGCTCGTTTTGCGTTTAAACCGAACCACAGTGTGTAAATCTGTATCGATGCTAACGGCTCAGCTAACGCACCTCCCGCTTTTCCGCAGCGTGTTCCGGATTTTTATTTACTTTACATTTCTTCAACATTTCTAAGTGTCTGCACCAACTTTTATCATTTAACTTTTACGGTTTTTTTCAGTAAATGTGCCAGTTCGAATAAGATCGTATTTTATATTATTTTTTTATATTTTTATTTATTTTATTATTTTTTTTATTTTTTTTTATTTGTATTGTTTTTTTTTAATTTATTATTCTTTTTTTATTATTTATTTATTTATTTATTTTATTTATTATTTTTATTTTATTATTTTTTTTTATTTTTTTTTTTATTTATTGTTTTTATTGTATTTATTTTATTTTTGTATTTTTATTTTATATATATATATATATATATATATATATATATTATTTTTTTGTAATTACATTTTTTATTATTAATATTATTGTTTATTATTTATTATTAATCCAAACTCCACGTGGTTTTGTTTTGTCCGTTTCCCCATGACAGCTTTATAGAAAAACACTTTTGTCCCAGTTTTATACGAGAAATGTCGTAAGTGTCAATATTTTGGACCAGTCTGATCCTGCAACAGTAAAGAGAAACATAAACTGTCATTTGTTTTGGTTAAATACTGAAAATCTGCTTAAAAACGACCAAAACACAAAAAAATTTGATTGTCTCTGCAGAACAATCAGAAAAACCATCAGACGTGGGACCAAGTCGTCGTTTTGCAAGTCTCAAGTCTTTGACCTCAATTCCGAGTCAAGTCCAAGTCGAGTCTCGAGTCACTGGTCCATAAGTCCAAGTCAAGTCCAAGTCGTCTGCTTTGAGCTTCAAGTCTTTAAACTAAAGTACCAAATAAATCTTTGGAATTTTGCAGTTTATATGATTTTTAAACTAAATTGTTCTTAAAAAATCTGCGTATTTATATTTGAGGATTTATAGAGTATAGAAGAGTTGTAGAAGTGCAAATTTTTCGTTTTTAAATGTCTTGACAAATACTTAAAAGCGTGTGAATCATTAGAATGGAAAGAATTCAGATTTAAAAGTGCTTCTCAAGTCCGAGTCAATTCCAAGTTGAAGTGACTATTTGTCAAATAAAAATAACAAACAAAAGCGTGGGCAAACTCAGAACTAAACATAACTCAAATAATCACCTTTGGGCACCATGGGTATGTGGTTTACGCAGTACAAATCAATGTCCATGACAAAAGATGATTTTCCAAGGTTTATTTTCCAGTTTGGGCAAACAACAAGGAAAACATGTTTGAGGCGACTCCTGCTGCCTCTCCTCGTGACTGGTAAAAACCATAGGCCCCAGGTCACTCTGGTCTACGTGTACCACCCTCTTTTATCCCAGAGGTGACCCGAATTAAACCAAAAACAAAAAGGAGGTGCTAACGTAAATAATACCAATTTAAACTAAGAAATTAGCAAGAATATTATTAACATAGCAAAATATATTACACAAATTAACAAAACTAAATTAGTAAGCTAACTAACAAACAAAAATAATAAACAAATTTTAGAATCAACAAAATAAGCAAATAGCTCCTACACAAGTCATTGACCTTCAAGTCCAAGTCGAGTCCCAAGTCTTAGTGTCTTAGTCCATTTTATCAAGTCTCAAGTCCTAAAACTAGTGACTCAAGTCTGACTCGAGCCAAAGTCATGACTTGCACGTCCCACCTCTGCCAACCACCAAAAAACACGTCCCAGATGTTTTTTTGTTTTGTTTTGTTCTTTGTTTTATTCTGGTCTTCCTAATCCCGCGTGTTACAGCTTTTCTATTTACATTACAACGTTTCCAAGTCTGTGCATGAATAGGAGGGTTTCAGTCACGTGATCATGATTATGCGCGAATTTCAGGCGGAGGGCAGGAAGTGAAGACAAACACGACAAACAAACACGGTTCTGGAGAACACAGATACGGAGAAGAGTTCTTATTGTCAGGATTTAGAGCCAGGAGCGAGGCAAAAGTACGAGCAGTTAGTCGACAAATATATTGGCCATGACCCTGATCTTATTGAAAATGAGAGAATTTTCAACTGAAGTAAAAGATTTGCTGACAATCGAGGCAGAGGAGATCACCAACTATTTAGCTCTTCAGACATCGTTCTACACCAGACAACAGATGAAGGTGTACAAAAGTTTGGAGGCATAGAACTTTTTTTGGCAGTGGATGGGTCCACAACCTCGGTGCAAAACGCCTAAATGATGATTATGGTTTGGTCTTGGCCGGGGTGAGTTTTTCTCTTATTTTATGTGTATCGACTGTTATGGGAAAAACTGCAGTGTATCGGCAGTGACCTCGATCTGAACTATTTAATGTCAACAAACGTCGTCAGCAGTTAGTCGTTAATGATTCGTTTATGTTTAGGTAAACCACAAAAAAACAATTTATCTTTGTAACAAACCTTTGTCGAAGTGTTCACTGCAGACACGAGCATTAGCGAATTCTGCTCCTCCCGACCGCAAACAGGTTTGTAATCCACTTTTGTTCTGTTGTTGTTCTGTCTGCTTTTCCCATTTCTGATCTTTGTGGACGACTATATTCGGTACTCTAAAAAAATCGCTTTTCCTTCTCTCGGTTAGAACGATTGGCACAGCCGTAAACTACACAACACATCACTTCCTGCCCTCCGTCTGATTTGACAAACGTCGCCCTGTGACGTCACGTGAAACCCAGATATTGTCCAGCCTTTTATCATTTAACGTTTACATATTTCTTCAGTAAATGTACCAGTCTGAATAAGATTTCTATATTTTTTTTCTTTTTTGCTTTGTTGTTTTATTTGTTGTTTAGTTTTTTCACGATCACATTAGACAAACCAGATGTTTTGAGTGTTTTAGCACAAATGCCATTTTTCAGCACCTTCCCTAATAAAAAAATATAAAATATATGCTTAAAAACAGACAAGACACAAGTTACATACGGATAAAATATAAACAGTACATTTTCAATTTTTTTCAATTTAGTTTTGCCCTGGTCTTTTGTCATGAGACTCTGGGGAAGAGGAGCAGGAAGCAGAACAAACTGTCAGGACCAAAACAAACTCTGGGTCTGAAAAAAGAACCGTGGAACAGACTTTTCAGTTTTGTTCCTACTTGAGTCATATTTTTACGGAAGTAACTGTACTTTTCCCAAATACTTCTAACTCTTGAGTAATTTCTTGGAGCACTACTTTGTACTTCTACTTGAGTAATATGAATTTGAAGTAACTTTGCTTTTATTCAAGTACAGTTTTTGACTCCTCTCCTGCAATTTCATTTTGTTAACTGAAGATGTTGGTAAAAACTAGACCCTGACCGATATGGATTTTGTTGCTGCCGATATGAAACCGATATAATGGGGGTTGGAGCTGCCGATATAATCGCCGATATATTTAGTGATGTAAAAATTCACTGTAAATCTTGAATTGTTTAAAAAACTTTGGTTTGGCTCTGGTGGATTTTAAATTGGGTTTATTTAGGAAACATTTATTGTTCTTCTGCCTCTTTACGTCAGATTTACAGACAGAAGTTCGGCCTAATGGAATTTTTGCATCACATTCTAGACACTAGTGACGGGGATTCCAGTTCTTTTTAGAGAACCGGCTCTTTTGGCTCGGCTCACTAAAAGCAGACGGCTCTTTTGGGTCCCAAGTGACGCTTCAGATTGTTTTGTTGCAAACAGGACTAAACCAGAACTGAACCAGGACTGAAAAAGGACTAAACCAGGACTAAACCACATCTAAACCATGTGTAAAACAGGACTAAACCAGAACTGAACCAGGACTGAGTGTCGGGACTCGGTCTCTATCTCTGTCCGTCTCTCAAGCCCAAGATTAGTCCTGGTTTATTTTATGCTGAACTACAAATATTCACGTTTTTTAATCTTATGCACACGCAAATTTCTCAAAGTTTAATTTTTAGCCGCTGTCAAACTACCACGAGTCTGAACACGACGTGAAGAGAAAAAAAGTGAGAAAGAAAAAACACGACTCCTAATAAGGATCCGGCTTCCGTCATTCGCTTGAAAGAGCCGGATCTAAGAGCCGCTTCATTCACGACCGACCATCACTACACACACTAAAGAAACTACCGCTATTAACCTTTAGCTGTAAATGCTGTGCGCCACGGTCATTAATTCTATGTGTAAATGTGGATCATTCACACCTCTATTCACAGCTCATTTACATCAGTGCAGCTCCAGTCACAAATATACGAACAATAGAGTCAATTTACAACAGACCAATAGAAAACAGACTGATTATGTGTCGGAGCTACAGCAGATCATCAAGAAACAATGAGAAAAAAACAAAACTAGCTTCAAAGTCGACATATTTCCAACACTCAGCCCCACACAGGCTCCTCCCACATCACAAGTCTGAACTAATAACACACACACACACAGGCTCCTCCCACATCACAAGTCTGAACTAATAACACACACACACACAGGCTCCTCCCACATCACAAGTCTGAACTAATAACACACACACACACAGGCTCCTCCCACATCACAAGTCTGAACTAATAACACACACACACACACAGGCTCCTCCCACATCACAAGTCTGAACTAATAACACACACACACACAGGCTCCTCCCACATCACAAGTCTGAACTAATAACACACACACACACAGGCTCCTCCCACATCACAAATCTGAACTAATAACACACACACACACACACACAAATGACTCCACAGATAAATACTGATGTGGAGTCACATTTGGACATTTATCTGTCTGTAAATTGGATTAAATAAACAATGTAGAGAGTCTTAAGATTTATAACGACATATAACCTGCCCACGTGAAATATCGGCCCATATCAGCAAATATATCGGTCGATATGCCTCCAGGTGCCCATATCGGCCAACTGATATATCGGTCGGGCTCTGGTAAAAAATGTAAAAAAAAAAAAGATGAACTATAATCTGTGTTTGTGTCACAGAGAAGCCCCGCCTCCCGTGAGTCCAGCGTTTGGGTCGAAGGATGCGACCCCTGACCTGCAGATTCTCCCGCCCTGAGACGGCGTCCTCGTTTGGGTGCGTTGCTTCTTCAGATTCTTGGGCGGTTTTGTGTCGTTGGGTTTGTCCGTTTGAGTGAGAGTGATGAGTTGCACTGTTCCGTGGGTCTGTGCTGTGACACCGACTCCACCCTGAGTCCTGAAGAGCCACACGTGCACAGGGGCCATCTGACTCGCCGCTGTAGCACGCACTTTTAACGCTTTGTCCAAGTGTTCATTCTGATGGAGTTACGTCTCACCTCAGGGCCTCGTCCAGGAGTCAGAGTGAAGGACGAGGAGATGGACGCGAGCTGGACCAGTAAATAAGGAACACGACCCGCTGCCTGGTTACTCTGGATTTTATTTAAGATTGGACAAGGCGGCGCGTCCTTTGTCGGAGGCGGAGGCGGCGGCAGCGTGTCGGTCGTCGTCGGAGCAGGTGGCGGCGGGCTGAGGCTGACTGCAGGTGAGTGTGCGCACCCAGCCGTTTCAACAAGATTTTCAGCAGAGAACTTAAAAACAAATGTTTACAGTGGTCCATCGTTTCTGGCGGGGGTTATGTTCTAAAAATAACCCACGAAGTAGTAGTCGGCTTTATTTTTCAGTTATTCTATCTGTTTTAAGTCAGCACACACTTTATACACTTTTCTCAGTCAGGACAGGTGCGGCCCTTTTTACGTCCTTATTGCTGCTGTCGTCCTTTTGTTATTTTCTTTCTTTATGTAACGAACCCAAGATTCATTTATTCTGTATTGGAGTCGACAGCAACAGAGTCCTGCACCGCTCCGTTTTTGGAGGCCCACAACCACCCGCACCTGCCTGCACCTGCCCGCGCCCGCCCGCACCTGCCCACAACCGCCCGCACCTGCCCGCGCCCGCCCGCACCTGCGCGCACCTGCCCGGACCGGACCTGGACCGCTGAGGGATTCTACACATAAGGACACATGGGAATAAAAAAGTGAGTTCTACAGTTAAATGTGGAAAATCACAGGATAGTGTCTAAAGGAGGGTTTTTTGTCGTCTTATCAAAGTCTGTGTTGGGAATTGAGTCTGTTTACTCGACTTCACTTGTTTTTTTGGTTGGTTTAACTTAGATTCTGATGTTTGTCATGATTTGGAAAGTTGTTGATCTAGAACTTTCCCTCCTCCTCTTCTTCTTCTTCTTCTCTGTCCTCAGGCCCAGAGCCTCTGATGGTGAATGAACATCTCCAGCTGCAGAGGAGGCTCAGCTGTGACTCAAGAGGAGGCCATTCAGAACAAACAAAACACTGCACAGCAAGAAGGGTCTGGGTTCAGTCGCCGGGTCGCCCGGGCCTTTCTGTGTGGGGTTTGCATGTTCTCCTTGTGTCTGGGTGGGTGTTACGTGCTGGTGCTCCTTTGCACGTCCTTCGTGCGTTTTTATATCGGTGTATGTTTTGTGGTGTGGCTGGATCTGGTATAAATATGCCGCCTGTCAGAGGCGTGGGCTCCTGCGCTCTCGTGCTCCTGCTCTCGCTGTGCTCGCCTCGCCCTCCGTGCACTTGGGCGCGCTCGTCGCCTCGTGCGCTCCCTTTGGCTCGGCTGCTCGCCGCAGGCCGCACCTGTCTGAGCACCTGTCCTGTGTCTTTTGTTTGGTCAGGTTAGTCTGAGGACGTCTTTTTCCCTTTAGGTTAGTGATGTTGGCGCCGGCTTCTACGATCGTGTACGGGGTCGGCCCGGCGCTTAAAAAGACTTACAAATAAAAGTGACTTTTGTAACCTTTCCGCCTCCTGTGTCAGCTTTAATATGTTTGATCCACCGGGTCGTAACAGTGGGTTTCCTCCGGGCGCTGAGATGGTCCTGACAAACTGACAAACAAAAGACCAGAGGTGGGTCCCGGCGCCTCGCGTGCCCACTGCAGCAGGACGCGGCAAATGCACAGGACAGTTTCCCTACAGGGAGAACAAAGTTAAAAACAACTGCTGCAATTTTTTATTTTTTTGTTCTGGAGAGGTTTTAGTCATCCCTGCATCTTTGAGTAATCTAGAGATTTATCCTGAACCCTCTTCAAACCCTCCTTACTTTTCGCTGTAGTACGAGACTCCGCCCACAAGCGTCTCTCGTGCTCCCACACGACAATCCTCCACAAATATGTAAAAACATGAGACGAAAGTGAACACAGTGACTGGACAAACCTGACGTGATGTGCAGGAGCTTCAGTCGTGCTCTGAAGGGGGAGTGACTCGGCTCGGGGAGCAAAGGGGCTGGTACTCCAAAACAGAATTAAAACTTATAAAATGTCATGTGTTACAGTGAATATTGTGGGTTTTTTCTGAAGGTTCCATGCGTGTCCTTAGAAAGAAGCACGAGAGATCCGAGAGAACAAGCCACTTTATTTCGTCATTTTCCATTGAGAGGATTCAAGTTGATTACCATGTACAACTGTCACCCCGGAACGACGCCTCTACTCCCAACTCAAAATCAGGGGTAGCTTTATACTACATCTTGACAAAACATTAACTTGTTGAGTTAGCATATACAGCAAGAAAATGAACAATACTGCTGACCCAGTACACCTTATCATGGGTGGGACCATGCCACGGGGACCACATATGTCAGTTTTGCTGCTCCTTGCATCTCAAAGTCCAAAAACATATTCTTTATGCAAGAAAAACATGTTATGTAAACCTATAGATATCACACGTTTTCCACCCATGTCATTCTAAAGTCTATAATGTTAGGTGAATTTAGCATGATCAGCATATAATTTCCCACAATATCCCAGAGTCAAATAAATATCCCTCTTTGCACTGCACTGTTAGTACTTACATGTTAATGTTTTAGTATTTAGTTTTATTTCATCAGTTTATTTTCTGTTGCACCAGAACTGCCGAAGAACTTCTTGTTTGAGTTTTTGTCACTGCTAAAGGCAATAAAACAGATTCTGATGTGAAAGTACTGTGTTTGAAAACTTTTTACTTTGATTTAATGAAGAGAAATGTCATTTACCCTGTTTTTTTTGGACTGTAAGTCGCACTTTTTGGGAGAAATGTATTTGATAACATGAGAGAGCAGGAGCAGACATTTCCTGCGTAAAGTCAAGTTGTAGTAAAAACAATAGAAGAACAGACTGAACGTCACACATGAACAGTTCTTCAGATAAACTATAAACAACAGAACAAGTTTAACCAAACTCTCCGTCTCACTCCAAATCACTAAATCCATTAAATTCTTCATCCTCGGTGTCACTTCTCGGCCTCGACCTCCGGAGGTAAACAGAGCGACACAAACTCTTCTGTGTCGCTGTCGTCAGACTCGGCATCAGTTCCAGTTAGAATTTTTCGGGTCTTTCTGAATCTCGACAGGATGGTTTCGGTGTCACTGAAGTCCAGACTTTGTCCATCCATCCAGCGACTTCAGGAAAGTTTCATGGTGCATCCTCCACAAGTCACAAGTTTCTCTCTCACTCCAAATTTTCTTTCTGCTGCTTGATTTCCGTTTTCAGCTGCAGATTTCACAACTTGTTTGTAATCTGCAGAATTTGATTTTGTTTTTTGGGGCCTTTGTGTTCGGTCTCTCAGTCTTTGCTTAAACCAGTGGTGTTCACACTTTTTCAGCATATGAGCTACTTACAAAATGACCAAGTCAGAATGATCGACCTAATACAAAGTCAAACAAACTGCACTGAAACACTCTGTGGCCCTTTTTTGGAGCCTCCCCCACAGTTTGAGAACCTCTTCTTTAAGAGAACTTCCTCTGGCACTTTACACAAAACTGTGAAAAAAGTGAAGGAAGATTTTTAAACCTGTTTTTTAAAGTTCCAAACTGGAGTTTCATTCTTTTGTGGTTTTGCAGTGATATTTACCAGCCTCTGCACGTTTACCAAACCAAACGCACATCGTGACAAACACAGATGCATTTGTCACTTTTGTTAGACAAACTTCAGCCAAATGTGGCAGTAGGTCTGTTCTGTAGATCCGCTCTATGCTGTAGACCTGCTTTGTGCCAACCCTGGAACATAAATTTAGACTGGTTTTTGCTTCACGTTTGGTCTTGCTCTTCTAATCAGCCGCACTGTGGGAGGGGCTTGTGTTGGCTGTACGCAGGAAGGAGCGAGAGCGTGAAAAGGCGAGGGGCGGCGTGCTGACGTGAGGCAGATGAACAGGTAGGATGTTTAGGAAGTTGAACCTGCCCTGTGATGCACGCTGGTACACGAGGGCACACGCTGTCGCAGACGAGCCGTGCGTAGGGAGCGTGTGTGTTTGTGATGCGCCGTAGAGTCTCCGCGGGTTTCAAATGAGCGCACAGGCTGCACTGAGACGCCCCACACGCTCCTGCACCCGCTACAAGTTTATTACCAACAGCAGCGGCCGGAATGAAATATGATCACACTTGTTGAGTGTCAGACCTCGAGTGAGAGACAAGACCGAGTCCAAACACGAGTCCAAGACGAGACACGACCTTGGCGATCGACATATTGAGCACCCCTGGTTTAAATGTTAAATAGTTCAGTGGTGCAGAAGTAACGGTGTGATCGACTGACATGACACAGAGGCTCTTTCTGCAGGAGACATGTGCAGTAGAGAGTGAAGTGACAGTGGTGCAGGAGGAACAGGAGCAGCAGATCCTCACACACAAGACTAGAACCTCTCCACACTTCACCAAAAACATCTGAATATAAAACAAGTCACAGGAAACACACAAACCAGGAACAAAAGTGACACTTACAATCCAAAAAAATCCTGTACTGAGCTCTGATGAGTTCAGAGTGTAATATCTGTCTGTGTCCACATGACGGCGCTTTTGTACCGTTTATCTAAGGTTAAAACAATCTGAAAAAACAAGGGAAAACTTTGTTAAATTCTGAGAGAAGAAGAGAGGAGGAGGGAAGGAGGGAGGGAGGAGAGGAGGACTGAGCCACTAGAACCAAATGAATTTTTTTCAGTTTTATATTTTTTTCATTTTCAGATCTGAGCTTTTGTTTTTATGGAGATTAAAACCCGTGTAATCCATTTATTTCAACAGAGTAACTAATCCAATTCCCACTCACTGAAACAGTAACTGTAACTGAATACATTTACTCATCATTTGTACTCGGATTACTCCGGTACATGTAATCTGTTACTCCCGACACTGCACATACACACACACACATATATATTCATACACACACACACACACATAAACCTACAGCTCCACATTTACACACACTTGGTACATTCAGCCACATTTGACATTTACCTACAGAGTTTGTTTGTTTCTCACCCGCCTCATTTTGGTGCGTGCACAAGAAGAGCACTACACACCCAAATGCCTTCGCTTATTAAAAAACCCTTAGAACCCACGTGCTTATGTCATTCATCATTTTAAAACTTAGACCTTCTAGATTCTGTAGAGATTTCCCATAAACCAGGGGTCTCAGACTCACGGCCCGGGGGCCAACTGCGGCCCTCGGAAGGATTTTTGCGGCCCTCCACTTAATTCCAAAGAATAATGTCAGTGCGGCCGGCGGTAGATGTACGTACAATCCCACCCTCTACCGCGGGCCACACTGACAGATGAACCTGCAATCGGTGCCCATGCAGATTCACAACAACAGATTATTAACGCAGCAGTAGCTCAGTTGGTAGAGCATTCGCCCACTGATCTAAAGGTTGGCGGTTTGAATCCAGCTCTCAACATAAACATCACAGGTTGAGCAGTCAGATCCACTAACCCACAGGTTGCTGGTGTGATTCCAGCTCCCACAGATGAATGCTGTCGTTGTGTCCTTGGGCAAGACACTTAACCCACCTTGCCCACAGTGTCTGTGTACACTGGTGTGTGAATGTGTGTGTGAATGGGTGAGTGGTTCCTTGTTGTAAAGCACTTTGAGTGCCTTGAAGGTGGAAAAGCGCTATAGAAAAATGTGACCATTTACCATTTACATCCCAAAACTCAACTTACAGCAGCTGTGAAGCAACGAGTTAATACGAGTACACGTGCACATACACGTGCACATACACGTGCACATACACGTGCACATACACGTGCACATACACGTGCACATACACGTGCACATACACGTGCACATACACGTGCACATACACGTGCACATACACGTGCACATACACGTGCACATACACGTGCACATACACGTGCACATACGGCGTCACTGAAGAACCAAAACAAACCTCACATGGTGGTACACGTGTGCACTTCACTTGACGCTCCCACAACCACAGTATCAGAGCAGAGGAGGCGCTGACAGAATCCTCCTGTTCATAAGTGTGGGACCATTATTGGAGGGGCTAATAAGAAATAAAAAGACACTGACAGTCTGTTTACCTGTTCAACACTCGGTGCGTAATTTGCTGGCAACACGATGACCAAACTCCACCTGTGCGTCGCCGAAATCCACGCGCACTCAGCGGCAAACACAGCTGTCCCATCAATATGCAAGCACCACAAAACTGCACTGATCTAGTCCAGAGGCTTGGCGACATGTCAGCAAAAAGTACGAGGCAAAAACTAGCGTCTTCCGTCCATGTTTGACATACGAGAAGCAGATACACTCCAGTGTGGCGCTTTTACACCGGCAAACGAACCAAAACTGGTCCGATTAACGAGCCTCTGTATCCCGGTAGAACAGCGATATCTCCAGTAACCAAAACTGATGTTCCCTGTTAATACCAGGAGCCGTCCTCATCTCATCACCATGAACTCATAAAACAGCAACATGTAGAACTTTGTACAAACTCACCGCATCAGCCCAGAGTTCAGGTAACAGCAGCAGCCGACAGCTCCTCAGGACGGGGCTGGGGTCTGGTCCTTGGTTTTCTGTCGTCCTACAAGCGCGTTGGTCAGATGGTCCGGAGGCTCTATCCTCCATGTGCTGGTTCCAGACGGTGGCGAGCAAGACCAGTGCGCAGTGGACTGGGTCTGAGCGGGTACGTTCCGCCGTCTGCGCACTGGTTCCGTGCGGGGAAAGTGAGAATGCGCTGTGGACTACACCTACAGGTCTGTGCTGCTCCTGTCCTCTGCGCTCAAGAACTGCGGCTGGTTCCGAGGTGGTGCAAAGCATCCGGACAGAAGCGTGAATCCAGTTTAGTTGGTGTCCACATTTGGTTCTTACAGCAGGTCCTGAACAGACAGACACACCCCCAACTTTTGACTCACTCTGGAGCCACACGTTCACACACTGGTTCTTGCTCTGATCTTCGTGTGTTTCATTCTCTGTTTTGGCCATTGTTGGTAAAATAATTTGAAACTGAATTGCGGCTGCGTCTGGACAACAACCTGTTACTGCGCTGGAGTCGTACAGCGTCATTTTCATTTTCTCCCATGATGCATTTGGAATAGTCCGTTTGGACCTGCTGTCTGTGGTTTGGACCCGGGTTCACGTTCACACCAGAGGAACCGCACCAAAGTTGTTCATTTGGGTGCGGATCCAAGCGAACCGAGACCACCTCTTTTTTGAGGTCTCGGTTCGCTTGAGTTGGTTTGGGTCAGAGTCCGATTGACGCTTTCACACCAACGCAAACGAACCGAACTAACCACTTCTGGTTCGAATGGACCTTTTGGTGCAACAAATACTGTTGGTGTGAAAGCACCTAATACAGGTCAAGGGTCACTGATGAGCATCTTCAATCTCATCAGGATCTCATGTGCTTCCTCCTGCAAGTCAAACATCTCTCAGCTGTACAAGATGAAGCGTAGCCAGGTTCCAACCAGCAAGAAGTAGGTAAAAGAAGAAGAGTAGACGTATTAGTTTAAACTTAAGTTCTAAATACATTTTCATGTTCTGAACTGTTATTAAAGATTAAGAAAGTGTGTTGCGTGTTGTTCTTTCTCTCTTTTTTCCCGTGCAACCGCTATTTATCGATACTCAATGCGGCCCAGCCTCACTCAGACTTTATCTAATGTGGCCCCCGGGTCATTTGAGTTTGAAACTCCTGCTGTAAACAAACTGATGA